GTCTGATGTTGCAACTTCATTTCCATATATGGAGAATGCTGGGTGTGCATGTTGCTCTCTCTGGTTGTATCAGTCTGAAATTGATCTGTCAGCTCACTCAAATGTGTCTGTCAAGGAGTATAAAGCTAACATCCCTTTGGGCTTAGTCCATTTTCTTATTTTCTTCCCTAAGTTTTGCTGTCTCTCGTATTAATGGACCGTTATTCCCCTTCCAACAATCAACTATGGAGCTCAGCTCAGTTCACAGCACTCTAAATATGGACTTAGGCCTGACCACTAAAACTTTACTTTTAAAATCTGCATAAATGAGTCAGATGCCTCCAGAGCAGGGGTCCCCATCATATGGGCTGCAGAAATGGCTGGCCAGGGCATGCACATATGGGCGCACATTCCCTCCCTCACACTAGCGCCCACAGCCCTGTTTGCACATGTGCATGGGCATGAACGGGAATGCTAGTATGGGGGGGCATGCACGCCCTGTTTGTGCATGCACAAACAGGCAGCTAGCATGGGGGGGTGCAGCCCATTTGTGCATGTGTGAACAGGCACTAGCCGCCGCAGGAGGTGTGCGGTCGTTCAGACATGAGAATGGCACCAGCGCATGCCATATGAGTGAATGCGGCCACTAGTACTGTGCCAGTGGATGTGGCCCCATTTGCATGCATGCACATGCATTCACACACAGTAATTTGGAAGCTGCTCTCCCCTCTGGGCCGCGAGCTCGGAAAGGTTGGAGAACTCTGCTCTAGAGAATGGATGAGATAGCACCAGACTAACATTTACAGGCATTGGCCCACATATTCTATGTTTTTTTAAAGAATAATAGGTGGCAAGCCTATGATTGCCACTTCTTCTGTGACTGGCCTATCTCTGTGGTATTGTATTCCAATGAGTCAAGATGTTTCTGCTGTTTTTATATTAATTTACACACAGACTATTGCCAGAAAGCCACAATCATGTCTGCTCAGAAAAGTACATCTTTGCCAGCGTGCCCTGCCTGTGTGGAGGAGGTTCTTTCTAGGACAGGCATAATAGACCAACCAGGTCTGCCATTCTGGTTGGTCTATTAGAGCCATGGTGGTGCAATGGTTAGAATGCAGTATTGCAGGCAAACTCTGCCCATAGCCAGGAGTTCGATCCTGACCAGCTCAAGGTTGAGTCAGCCTTTCATCCTTCTGAGGTTGGTAGATTGAGGACCCAGATTGTTGGGGACAATATGCTGACTCTGTAAACCGCTTAGAGTGGGCTATAAAGCACTATGAAGTGGTATATAAGTCTAGGTGCTATTGTTATCCTGGAACTCCCTGAAACCCAATCATCAGAAGAAGTAAAGCTGTACTTCTACTTACAGACTAGTCAATGGACAACTTCCATTGTCATGCAGGCCCAGCATACTCAAAAAGTGGGTGGAGGAATACATACTTCCTTTCTATCACTTTTTAAAAATATTTTATTTTTTAGTTGGAGTGGGACCTTTTCTGCATTGGATCATCATGGTTTTTATGCAGGTTATTTCCAAAAAATTGTAAAGGTTGTTAAACTATCCATTTCTCATTCCTGTTGTTTCTGCTTTAAAGGAGGCTCAACTCTGTTCACTATATACCTGCTTCAGTACTCAACATACAAGTACAAAAGGGGTAGAGTTTGCAATCATGATGATGCAGTTCACATTTAATCATTGGTCCTCTGTGATAGCCACGGGTGCAGGGGAAATATTTTAAAAATCTCTTCTGATAACATCTTGAAGGTAATCTGGATGGACCTTGGAGAGTGAAGATTCTCTACCGAGTCTCTCATTGCTGAGATTTTATTCCTGTTCTGCCGAAACAGGAAGGAAGCAGCTTCAAATATTCAGATACCTTCTCATTTATAGCTTATGTAATCCTGACATAATTTGAATCAAACTGGCCTGCCCTTGAATGTTCAAATATGATTTAATCATAAGCCCTCTGAATCCCTAATATTCAATCTGAATGTAATCAGAGCTGATTTGCACAGGCCTAATAGGAACTTTTACCAGGAATATGGGATTAGCAATTACTGTACTTTCTGGTGCACATGCACTTGGAAACAAGCCAGCTTTGCTATAATATATGAAAGCTCTCACACTAGTCCCTGAAACATTCTCTTTAATATCATCTCAGGTGAGCTGAATTTCTTGGCTCCTGCTGCTCTTCTGAACCAGATATTAAAAAGAAGCAACATTTTGCAGTATATCATCTTTGGAACAACAGGGACTAGTTTCTACCCCCTGAAGCAAGTTGAAAGCAAAATGGAGATCAGCCTATTCCCCCCCCTCCCACCCCAGGAAAATTGACTTTAATGATCTAGACAAGTTGAAAGGCTTCTGCTAGTAGGGAGCTGACAGATAGATGTTGAAATTCTGAAGGAAAAAACTGCATCACACAGCAGGACCCACATTTTTTAGAAGTTGCCTTTTTTTTCATTTTTTCCCTTTAATTTTACTGGCATGTGAAATACTCATATTTGGAAGTGAGTACTTGACACATTTTCTCTTATTGTTGATTAGCTTAATATGTCTAATACTAATAATCATTAAATGAAAGAACATCCGTTGTTTGTTTTTGTCGCACTCACATTTGAGGAAAAATAGGCTTCATAGAGCTGTCTGGGGAAAAAATACCCAGAAGCTGACAATGAATATATTAATCTGTGAAGTCTATGTCTGCTTGTTGTTAATGATGAAAAATAACACCAGCCACTAAGATGTGGAGGCTGGGATGCACAGTGGTTGTAAGTCAGCCTGAGAATCACCAGTAGGAAGAAGCTATTTGCAAATTAGATAGAACTGCAAGAGAAGCTTTAACTGCAGGATTGAGCAATCTTTTAAAACTGGGGGAAGGCTGAATATTATAATGGGCAATTATCCATAGAGGCAAGTATCAGGATTTTCTATGTTTCTGGTTTGGAAAGGATTGGAAAGTCATGTTTTTAATAGTTTTAAACCCATGTTAAAGCTTACATTATGCCTGCTACATACTTCCAACTCAAAATAGTATATAAAATACTCACAAGGCAAAATAATAATCAGAGACTGTAGGCTGTCTCTTGCTTTGTTATAATTATTGCAAAGTGTTAGGAAACTGGGGTTATTGTGTTGTCCTGCAAATCTGCATAAGAAAGAGGAAATGGAGGCCAAGCTTGCTATTCCATTAATGGAATAAAGAGAATCAGTTTGATGTAGTGGTTAAAGCACTGGACCTGAAGACCTTAGTCCTATCTTAGGTGCAAAATCAGTTGGGTGAACCTGGGCCAGTTACTCTGTCTCAGCCCTAGGAAGGAGGCAATGGCAAACCACTTCTGAAAGACTTTGCCAGTGATGGCTGGAGTCAATACTGACTTGACAGTACATACCCACACCCATCCACTCACACAGAGCAATGGAATAAAGGCCATAGAGAGGAACAGCTGCTATTAAAAGTTATTGCTATAGGATCTAAGACATGAGTATCTTCATTTGAATGCATGGGATGAGAAACATAGAGAAACCAGAAGCTGAACTGGTAAAAGCACAAGCACATTTGGACCTGTGAAATCACTATTAGAGTGGCAGGTAACTTTCACTCATAGCTTAAATCTGTCTTTACGAGTACTGACTTGAACCTAAATAGACCAAAAGGAATTTTATGTACAGCCTAATTTATTGACTTCTGATGAATGATGGTCTATATTGTGTAACAGGTTCTTGCACTTATCTCAGCTTTTGAATCCACTATGTATACTAGTGGATATTAGTACAAGGACTTGGGTTTATTAGATCTTGGAAGGAGGTAAACAACTGATGACTCTGAGATATCTTTGTGGCTTTGTCTGTTTCTCTTATCTCCCATCAATGTTATCTTGACTATCTTGAAAATATTTTGTTGTTTGCCCATCCTCATGTGAGAATGGAAAAATTGCAGGCCAGATGGACACATTGGAATCTCAGAAACTATTATAACAAGAAAGAAATAATTCTAGACACAATCTTAAGCAACTACATTCAAACTAAACCAGGAAGGAAAAGAGGGGTGCTGTCCAAAGATGCACCTGGATATTTGGTTTGCCCTTTTGCCCCTCTCTAAAATTTGACACAAAAAGCCAGGTGTTTTGGCAGCATGATAGCCTCCTTTTAACAACCACCATCAGACCATTGCTGTGGAAAAGGAGCAGAGAACACAAGGCATATTCATAATGGCTCAGGCAGTGTCCAATGTGGGGCACAACTGTCAAGAGTGAAAACCTGGCAGCTACATGCTTTTTTGTTTTCATCTTGTCATTAGAGTAAGTGTGTTGGGGGGGGGAGATGAGATTTTGAATGGGTTAGTTAGAGAAACAAAACTTCTCCAGTTCTGCAGATGTTTGCTGAGAAAGGATGTATGGAAACCTTTCCAGAACAAGATAGCAGATGGTTCTCATAACAACCAGAATTTGTTTACATGAGGTATGTGGACATCTGGGAGGTTTGGCTGGGAATGTCATTGTTATATGCTTTGGTTATATGTCTTGGGATTTTAGAGTTAGTTTTCCTTCTCCTATACCATGTCATGTACTCAGTAAACCAGTAAGATTTTCAGAAATGAAAAAAATCCTGGACTTTATTTGGATATTTGAGCTGGAGGCTGACAACAACAGCATCACAACATGCCAGCTAGATTTCTTCTGGCTCAACTTTGGTACAAGTCAAAAATGCAAAATTTTCACTTTTTTTGATATTGACAGAGAGAGGAAAATAGCAAAAAAAAGAGAGTCACAAATCATGGTCATTGTGCACAACTGTGAAGTGCTGCAACAGGTCATAATTGCAAGCCAGTTGTCAAGTGCCTGAAATGTGACCATGTAACTGTACAGCTCTGTGTGTGTGTGTGTATGTGTGTGTAAATTGTAACTTCAAGGACAGATCCTAAATAACTTTTTTGAGTCCACCATAAACTTTGGCTGTTAAGCAACTATGGACTAGTTGTATTAGTGCAGTCTATCAATAATTCACCTGCAATTACCTTAGTACTCATAATTGCTTTGATGGCTGATTCAAACTCCTCTGAATTATTATAATCCACTGTCCACACATGAGGTTTTCCAATGAAATCTTCTGCATAGGGATGCTGAGAAGATACCTAAAATGTGCACAAGAAATGAATCACTTAGCATTTCCCCTGTGGGGCTCTGGGATGGGAAACATTTCTGAAAATATGGCAGAGCATTAGAGTGAGAAGAGCTAGCAAGAGATAAGGATGAGAATAGGTCCATTTTAATTATATTTATCTACTTCTTTTCCTGGCTCTGAACATTCTTACTCCTCATTCTGCATCAGTGAATTCAGCAAAAAAATGAAATCTTCATGAGCATTTATCCAAATGTTGTAAAATGTTTCCTACTGATTTCAGGCACATAATTCTTCTTTGTTGTTTGTATAAAGCCAGGGTGGGTAGTTGTAGAGCCCACAAGCTCTCACCATCATTCCCATTGAGTGAGATTTTGCAGAGTTCTCGGGGAATCTTAAGGACCCCGCTGTGGTTCAGAAAGCATGCATTTCATACGTTTGCACAAACCTTTTCATGGACCAAATCTTCCTTTTGTATCAGAGAAACTCTTACAATATAATTTGAGCCATTTATACACTTCTCTAGGTTATTCAAACATGAATTTAGCCCAAATATGGTCCAAATCTCTCACTTACATATCTATATGCTTATTGCAACATGCACAGTCACTTTTATCTTGCTTTATGCAAGCAAAAATAACACGACAGTTTTCATTAAATTTCATTGTCACAATAACACATTTGAGTAATTGGTGATTTAACTTCTTTATCCTGGCCTCTGGAGCAGGCTATGTCTCAAAAGTATTGACACATTGAGTCTGGATACAAATTACCCCTTTCTGCATCAGATATCCAAATCCAACAAGAGAGTTCAGAAATCATAACACAGTATGTTATGAAAAAGCAAACAGACAAAACAAGCTTGGTCGCAACATCATAAAGCAGACTAACCTCCCTTGATGTTGGCTTCCCTCTGAAGAATTCATGATTGAGTGAGCTGTGGGGTGGATTGAAACGAGCTTGCAGGAAAACACATCCATTAGCTATTGCTTCCAAAGGGGCAGGGCCTTCGTAAGGAAAACCAAAGCCAATAAAGAGCTGTGAAAAGCAAATCCAGGCATTTAGCAATCTTTGGGAAGAGTAGGCTATTCATATGTATATGACAGGGTGCACAGCTAAGGTAAAATCTCCTCCCCCTGTCTCTCTCCTGATACAACTGACAAAGTGAGAAAGAGCCTGTGGTCTAGAGGTTATAACAACTGCCTAACATGCATATAGCCCAGGTTCGAATCTCAGAAGAGTAAGTCTGGCTGAAGAGAGTTAAAGGAACTCGAAATAGCTATCCCAGTTCTCTCTTTATTCTTTGTTAGCAATCTAAAAATGCAAAATGATGTCGCAGTTGGCGACTGCTGCTTGTGGATGGCTCTGGATTGAGCTGATACAGGCAAAAGAAAACAAAAGAAAGAAGATTTCTTTCTCCCATATTTGGGCTGACAGGGTGCACACTTAAGGTAATATCCTTCAGTTCCTTGCCTTGCCCAGGGGGATAGAAATTGATGTACAGAACTCTTGTAAAACAGTTTTGATTGCTCCTCTCTCACTCATTGAGCAGAATGGAACTTATGGCTGTTTTGCTACCAGTGGGAATGAATGTTCCATGAAGTCTTTACTTGAACCTTTCATTGACATGTTTCCTACTGGCTGATCAGTCTTCCTTTTAGTATAGAACAAGCCACAGTATAATTTTCCTATTGCTGCCTATGTCAATTACCCTGTACTAACTTGCACATATTAATAATTAGCTATTGAAGTCTAATTTTCTTGAATAAGCCCCATGTCAAGTGATAAGTGTGTAAATGTTATCTTGTAATTTACTTTAGGTAGAGAAATGGTGAACAGTGTGAAACTGAGAAGAGCAAGTTTAGAATTTGGTTTCTTTATAGCTTCTTTCCTAGTCCTTCTTGTGTTTTTCATTTCTTTAATCCCTGCATTGAAAAGACCTATACAATTAAATGGGGCTTCATTCACCCTTGCAGTCTCAGATTCCACACATACAATTACAAAAAGTTGCACTTGTGAAAAAAGTGTAGTGTATACTATAGTAAGAAGTGCCCTATGAGTTATTGAGAGTTAGACCTTGTGCTCGACCCTTGGAGGAAACTAAGTGTTTGGAACTACATTTAAGATTGTGATCTCTCACACATGTTCATAGGTATGAAGAGTTACATGGTCCAAATTTGGGTGGGAAATGGTGTGCAATGTCCTATGACTGATGTGTGCCTGACCTTTCCTTCCTAAAAATAAATGTTCCAAAGTTCTGTTTAATTTGTCCTGAGTGATTCTATTTAGTTTTATTCTGGAATAGCATGAAAACTAAAGCAATGGCTAAATCAAGCTGGATAATGAGATTTGAATTCTACCATCCTCCGTAAGGCAATCTGGTCATCTATTGATAAAGTCCTTCCCAATAGCTCTAGTGGACAGATTTTATTCCTGGAATGCAAGCTATTGTCTATCTGTGCCATAGATTCCTATGGTTCCTGAAAAAAATCTCCCCTCTTAAACTATGTTCTCACTTTTTCAACCTTCATAGTTTGATCATTATTTAGAGCAATGTTTCCTAACCTCTATGGCTGGCTGGAGAATTCTGGGAGTTGAAGTCCACACATCCTAAAGTTCCCAGGGTTGGGAAACATTAATTTAGAGCAAAGACATAGACTATTAAGTGCCTGATGCTTACTAGCAAATCAAGCATGTTGCCAAAGGACATTCTTTTCGCTGATGTTTTTAATAATACCCTCTTGATGTTTCCACTGTTTTTCAGTTCTGCAGTCCTGCAATGCAAGGCTATCTATTCCTCTTTCCCAAGACTTTTTGCAGGTAGGAATACATTCCCACAATGTATTTCTAGGTTCATGCAACTGCAGAAAGCAAAGGTTTTTTTCCCACCGAAAGGGGCTTTTAACCAGTAAATGAATTTGCTAAATTAACAATTAACTAATGAAACCACTTCCCTTTAGAAGTTGTGGGTGCTCCACCACTGAAGATTTTAAAGAAGAGATTGGATAGCCATTTGCCTGAAATAGTGTAGGGTTTCCTGCTTGAGCAGGGGGTTGGATTAGAAGACCTTCAAGGTCCCTTCCAACTCTGTTATTATTTTCATTAGCATTCACACCTTCCTAAGTTAGGGAACAGAACTATCTGGCCAATACCTTGGCTTTTCTCAGAAGCTGCTGAAAATCATGTTGGGGCAAAAGACCGTGATTCTTCACAAAAGCTGGAACCTCCGGTGGGCGCTGGGTTTCATAATAAACAGTGCCATGGATCTCCATGTACTTGTTAAGGATGGCTAGAAACTTCTCTTTACCCTGGAAAGGAAAGAAAGGGAAGATGTTGATCAGGGCCAGCTAAGATCAGGTTGAAATCCTGAACATTTTACTCTCTATTTTTCCTGCCTCTTTCTCAGCAGGCTTTAGAGGCATTCTTTGGATGCCTTTTTTGAACTTGTGAGAGGAGGTAGAAGTACTGTTGTTCCTCCTTTTATGATATTTATGTCTTTTACATACTGTCTCAATCCAGTCAGATCTAGGCAGTCTTCAGATATTTTGCTGCTTAGGTAATCTCCCAGATTGCTTTTTCCTAACATGACAAAGTCCCGTGGGGTTTCTTTATTCTTCTTGGAATTTCATATGGAAAGATGCAATACAATACATCTCATACACTGACTAAATCAAAGGCAAGAATGCCACAGCCCACCAGAGACAACCCAAGAGCCAGGTAGCTTAGAAATATATTCTATACATAGGCAAATTTTGATATATATTTTTTCTCCTTCGGGGGTACAATATAATATCTTTTCCACCAAATCTAATATGAATAGCTGAAAGAAAAGCCAGTGGAAAATACATTTTTAGCCGTCTACTGCCAACTAAATTTGGGAGTAAGGATTCTGTAACACTCAAATTTGATTAAACTTACATAGGTTTAATTCAAGTATTAGCCTTCTGCTGAAGAAACACAGAACTGAGCAAATAAAATGCATTCCAAATCACATTTGTAGATCCACTAGGGCAGAAATAAAAGAAAAAGCTGTGATTTGAGAATGCTGTTGCTTCAAAACCCCATCTCAGTTATAAACCCCCCCCCTCTGAGAATGTGAAATAAAAATACTGGCCTACCATAGAAGGAATGTTATAAAGCAATGGATATTTGCCCTTCTGTAAGATCTTCTTTTTTTTTAATGAACATAATTGATTTAGCTTTATACTGGATATATATACACCATATCAAAAACCAAAATTTACTTTTTTAATGAGTAGGTCCTAAGATGGATGAAATTTTCATTACCTATGAATCAAACCTTCAATGTGTGAGTGGAAGATCACTCAATCCACTAAGCAATGCAACTGCTTAGCTAACATTTAGAGCTAATGTCAATGTAAACGTAACACTTGAAACAAATCACACTCTTGGCGTCTATAAAAAACTGGTTTTTAGATTAACTTTAGATTAACAAGGGATCTGAGTAGTTTGCTTCTGCACTTCATTTCTCTCCAAAGGATGAATCTGCACCCCAGATTTCCCTTTTAACACTAAAGATTAGCCTCAATAAATTAAACTAAACACCCAGCCAAGAATTCTAAGCACTTGAAAACTTGCTATGGGTATTTTGTTTCTGGCAATTATTAGTTGATACTAATAAAATATTGCTTTAGTACAGAGTTTGGATATTTTCTTTGTTTGTTTTTTGTTTTTTGTTTTTTTTGCTTAAAATGTTTGTGAGTTTTTGTGTACAACTAGGAATACAACAAGGCCCCAAAAGTAAACACACAAATTTATTCTTAATGAGTGGGGCTTCCTGTACTGTATGATTCTCTCTCTTTCTCTTTTTCTCTCTCATTCTAATTCTTTTATAACTCCCATCCTGTTAGAGTACGATTGTCTTTGATCCGTGTATGTATTTATCCACAGGTTCCTGAAAAGCCTTCACAATTAAAAAAAAAAAAAGTCTAAACCAGAGGTATTAAAACCAGCAATTAAAAGCCTCGGTAAACAGTTCTATTTGGAAACATTCAAAGGGTACTTTTAGCAAATAGCACATTCCATACAAAGCTAAAGAGAAAAACAGGGTGAACCATTTATATGTTAGAAGGTGAAAGCCTCTTGAACACCTTCTTGAGTGCAGGTAGAAAATGTAGCTGCTTCTATCTTGTTTAATTGCTTTATTGCAGGAAGAAAAGAGACAGATTTAAAAAGATAAAAAGAAGAAGAAAAGTGGCATCTTGCTGCCACAAGCTGGCAATTTTCCTTTTGGAGGTTCAACATGCATTAAGTTGATTAATTTGGAGCTCATCTGATGCTATCTTTAAATAATTGCACAGAGCTGGTAAGACTTCATTAACACTCTATCTAATGCATACGCTTGCAGATCAATATATGTTGCACAATGTTCCCAAGCATGGACCTCGTTTCTGTGCCAGCATAAATTCAAAAAAGCAAATTCCCCTTTGAATTTAGCTGTGGTCAGCGCCAAGTAGCACTCTGAACAGGACTCTTTTCATTCCCCTTTCCTTTCTTCAACCCCTCATCTACTTCAGCCTTAAAAGACCCAATTATTCTGAAGAGAGAGCAGAGGTGTCAAAATTCTACATGGTGGATCTCAAACAGGCTCTTGCCAGCTCCTCCACGTTACACAAATTCTCCTAATGAATGCTCATAGCTATAAAGAAAGGAATGCCTCAGTATTGCCGATCAATTTGTAGAATCTGTAACAGCCATGTGGTAAAGAGGTTGTGCTCAATTGCTCTCACTTCAAGAGATCAGTAATGGGCCTTAGTCATTTCAAGTATCAGCATTCATCTAATTCCTATCTCCTGGAGCAGTGTGCACAGCATCGTATATGAGTAGTCTTCAACTTATGACCACAATTGAGCCAAATTTCTATTGCTAAGCGAGACATTTGTTAAGTGAGTTTTGCCGCATTTTACAACCTTTCTTGCCATAGTTGTTAAGTGAACCACTGCAAGGTTGCAGTGCACGGTTGTTGTCTGAATATGGCTTCCCCGTTGATCTTGCTTGTCAGAAGTTTGCAAAAGGTGATCAAATGATCCCGGGATACTGCAACGGTCATAAATATGAACCAGTTGCCAAGCATCTGAATTTGAATCACATGACCACGGGGATGCTGCAATGGTCCAAAGTGTGAAAAATAGCCATAAGTCACTTTTTTCAGCACTGCTGGAACCTTGAACGGTCACAAACGAATGATTTTAAGTTGAGGACTACCTTTATCAGCTTTTTGGAAATGGGGAATCCAAGTGAATAGGCCACAGAGTGCAGCTAGAGCTAAGCATATCAGCAGCTGTGAAGTATTCTAGGGAACCCAGATATTTGTTTCTGGGTTCCATGAACTCTATAGCTTTCTTGGAGCCTGTGAAGACTCAAATTGGGAAAAGAAATGAGTCTACCTGGCTACCTGTTCAGACCCTTTTCTCACCCAGTTTCAAATATGGACACATAAACTCTGAAAAGAGTTGAGGGGTATTTGCAGCAGAGCTTGCAAAGCCAACTGACAATTTAATTCCCAGATTTTTTTTTTACATCCAAGCAAATAATTGAAAAAAAGAAAAGAGGGAAAAAATAGGGGAGGCAGCTTTATTATTCCTTGCTGTCAAAAATTAGGCCAGCACCATCAAGTGGCTGCTGGTCTCCTTTTGGCTGATTTTTAGTAATGACTGGCAGAAAATAAGGAATGAGATTTACTTTTATAGCAACTGAGCCTTTGGGATAGTGTCATTGCAGGCCCCACCCTGCAGCTTCATCATGATGCAGACAAAAGGGAGGGGCTTGTAGAATGATGTCACTGCTGGGCAGGGCTTGCCACTCCTTGCTCTTCTTTGCTGCAGATACCCTAGTCCCTCCAGCTGTGCAGGATGCCTTAGATGTTGTTTCAAAATGTGTTTTTGAATATGCAGAGACATACATGTGTTGGTACTTCTTTAATGCATCTGTGTCTTTTCTCAATATCCTGATGCTGTTCTGTCCATGTGTGTGATGTGTTTCCTTTCATTGTGTATTATTTGGCTTACTTCAGGCAATTTTCCTCAAATGCCCCAACATTTCAACAATAGCAATAAGCTTTTCCTGGTTTAAAATTCTACCTCTAGTATTTCTGGCCATGAAATAGATCCCAGGCCTGCCACTGGACCTCAGAGCGAAAGCACAGAAATGTTTTAGCAGAGATTCTACAGATGGATGTTTGATGATGATTCTGCAGATGGATAGCTGAACTGAAGAAGCTTCTTGGATGAGAAGCAAAATGTCCTCAAGCTAAAACCAAGTCCAGTTGCCTTTTGAAAAAGCACCTTTGGGATTCAAATTCATGGTTTCCTGATTTATATATATAAGTGTAACTATATATTTTAAAACAGATTAATAAACAGTCTGCCACTTGTGCTCTAGCAATGCAAAATAAGGCTTCTGTTTTGTTAGGGGAACAAAATGGAGACTATATAAATCGTTTGCTATATTCTGAAACTAAAAGAGATTTGTATAAAGCAAAGTCTTGTGTATGTTTTGTTTACAAAAAAAATGGGGTGTATATGTAATTTAGAGAGGCAGTTTGGTGTAGTTGTTAAGGCATCAGGTCGGGAACTGAGAAGCTGCCTTAGGCATGAAGCCAACTGGGTGACCTTGGGCCAGTCACTCTCTTTCAGCCCTAGGAAGGAGGCAATGGCAAACTACTCTTGAAAAACCTTGCCAAGAAAATTGCAGCGGTTGTTCAGGCAGTCTCTGAGAACTGAACACAATTGAGCAGAAGAATATATATTATTTATATGAGTCACATAATTATTCCTACATATCAACAAAGGGAAATCATTTGATCGCAGATATGTATTTATAGTGTGTTGCTTTATTTGTTCCATGTACATGAAAATGAACAGGACAGTAAAAATATGTGTTGCATATTTGGTTGGAGTCATAAATCTGGTGGGAAGAGAGAAAGAACTTTCTTTAAAGAAGTCCGCAGTTTCCGTTTGTGGGCGATGCTCTTCACTGTCCACTTAATAGAGCTTTTTGCCACCTAGAGATTTCAGTAAGGAGCAAAAGCAGGCTGAGCCGTAACTGATTTCTCCAATTGTGGAGGGGCCAGATTTGCAGGAAGAAAATGTCTCTGCCAGAGCGTGTGTGGATAAAAAAACCCTTTCTCTTAAAAATTCACTATGCACACTTTGATTTTGCTTAGGGAAGAAATAATTGTTTTCTCTGAAAAATGGAACAGTAGTCACAGGAGGGAAGATAACCCTTTTCATAGATATGCAAAGTAGACACCAGCAGCAAATGAGAGGAAGCAACATGAAGAAAAAGACAACTTGCCATGTCCGTGTCCTTTATAAAGAATGCATGCGTGTTGAGCAAATGCCATTTGTACCAAAGCAATCAGAACAAAATGATTTGTCTTGCTAAAAAAAACAAGATGAATGTTACTTTAAAGAATTATCCAAAATCTCACTTTGTAATAATTCATATTAAAATCCATTTTGAAAATTGTTACTTAAATGCATATAATCTACATATGAAAAGCATTAAAGCATTATTTGTTCTGCTATAATATATTAAACATAAATCTAGTTTAAAATGATTTGTGACTTACTGTACCTGTAACTGGAAATCCATGTTGGCACATAGAGAAAAGCAAGAAGAGGCAAAATTGACTTCTTGTGTATGAAAGACAACAAACTAAAATGCTCCAAGATGGTGAAATACAAGTTATATGACCATGTAAAGAGCTTTGGTGGATCAGAACAGTCATCCATCAAATTTAGCTTCCCCCCCAGCCTGGTGGTCACCAAATAAGCTGAATTTATAGTCAGCCGATAGCAAATTCTTCTTCGTTCTTGAAAAGGCCAGCAACATAGCTGTCACCACTCTTCCCCTGGAAAAATAGTCTCCAAATACAAAACAGAACCAATGCTATGAATGTGTTAGATCAGGGGTCCCCAACCCCCAGTCCGTGGACCAGAACCAGTCCGCGGCATGCCAGCAACTGGTCTGCACAAACAAGCAAAGCCCCATCTGTGGAATGAAGGCAGCACACAAAACCATGCACTCTCCGGTCCATGGCAAAACCTTTCTCCATGGAACTGGTCCCTGGTGCCCCACAGGTTAGGAAGCTCTGTTTTAGATGACTTATGTTTGAAGAGGTCAGCTTGAATGATCAAATATGGAACATAGAACTCTTAAAGGTTGTGATTAGCCCAGAATCTGATCTCAGCTTATAGCATTAATGCTGGAATTCACGATCTAAATACTTGCTGTGGTCAGTTGACCTGTGTGACTTGTCTTCTTGCAGGAAAATTAAAATACTTTGATGTCATAAACAAACAAATAAAGCAAGCAAGCTTTGATTGCCAGTCTGTTTCCTCAACATATGAGTTTTGCATCCAGGAGTCAGACCAATCATGGCTTCTTTCCCTCAGTTCTACCATCCACCCCATACTGCACAATCAACTGTTTGAAGGAGCAGATCCCCAGTATAGTATTTGGTTGAAGGATTCTAGGAAATCTCTGGGCTGCAGACTCAGAATCCTGTCCTTCTATTGAAACTTCACATGAAATTAACACCCGCTACAGCTTTTTAACAGTCAGTTCAGGGTTGTCTTGGAATGCCAGTTTTTTCTCCTCCTGGGCAAATTTCTCATTGAATGTCAGCATGGCTTAAAACTGCAGCCTGCTTTCCTATGACATTCATAAATGTCCCTGGGCCATTATTAATATTAAGTAGTGCAAAGAATAAAAATTAAGATAAACAAAGATTAAGGTCTGGACCGTCGCAAAATTGATCTAATAGTTATAATTTTCCCAGGCTAAATATAAAACTCTAAGACCTTAACAAGGAGTGAGACCATGCCACTGGTTTTGGTATGAAAAAAGAAACCCATGTATTCTGCACCTGTAATTGGGCAGAATTAGCATGCAAGATGTGATGTCTAAAGATGGGATTCCCTAGAAAGAGGTTCCCAAACTCTGCAAGACTGCAACGCTTAAAATGATAATTACATTTGGGTGGTTCTCCCCCCCCAGTAAAACAAATGATTTCATGTTGAGATGGACATAAATATATCACTCTTACTCATTAATACCACAGAGGTTTTCAGGCTTGGTTTAGCAACTGCCCTCCAAACTAAAATCAGGAGCAAAAATCAGAGCCAATTTTCACCTTGCCACTCCTTTACCTCTGGAAGCTGGATTAGGCTGGGAAAAGTGTGTGAATTCACTCTGTAGGTTGAACCCCAATTTGAGGAGATAAAGGCTACATTCCTTATTTCACGAGACCCTTGTAGACAATGCACCTCAAAGGCATAAATGGCATTTCAAACAGTGGTGAGGAATGAATGAGTTTCATCATTATTGGGAAAGTTTCATTTGTTATACTGTATGGTTGGGATGAAATGCTTGTGTATGTAACCCACCTTCCAAATGCTGGCTTCCTTCCCATAGACAACTGCCATATTGTTGGCCTTGTTGGATTTAATAAACTGCTTCTCAGTCCCATTGAGCTCTTCTGACACAAACCCCATGAAAGAATTATCCGGTGTATGAGCTGTGGAGGAATAATATAATATGTCACTGTAACCATGGAAATCTTCATATCTCTCCCCTGGATAATACAATCTACCCCACCTCCAATGAAAGCATTCCATTTCATTGGAAGAGTGTATACTTTGTAGAGACTATATTGAATTTTGGGCTCACCCTAGATCAGGAGTATTCAATTTGGCAATGTGTGAAGGCCTGTGGACATGGGCCTGGCTGAGGAATTCTGGGTATTGCAGTCCATAGGTCTTAATGTTGCCAAAGTTGGACATCCATGCCCTAGAGTTTCTACACTTTTTTGCAAACTTTATGTATCATACCCTGAAACATGGGATCATCATCATCATTAGAGCTGGAAGGGATCTTGGAGGTCTTCTAGTTTTGCTCAAGCAGGAGACCCTATACCATTTCAGGCAAATGTCTGTCCAATCTCTTCTTAAAATCCTCCAGTGATGGAGCACCCACAACCCATGAAGGCAAGCCATTCCACTGGTTGATTTTTCTCACTGTCAGGAAATTTCTCCTTAGTTCTAGGCTGATCCATTCTACCCACCAGTCCTCTGGTTATCCACATGAGAGGTGTTTTGTTAGTTTAGAAATCAAATAAACTTATTTTAAAAATGAGTTCATTGATATGTTTCATATCTCTCTTACCTAATATTTTTTAATTCTGTAATGGAATATCCAATTTTGTTTTAATTCTTTTTGTTCATTACAAAATGTAACAGCCATAGTAGTTGAATGAGCTGTCTGAAGAAGGATAGATAATTTTTAAAACCAAAACAACAGTCCTGAAAAAATGTTACTTTTATATAACAATTTATTTTGGCTCATAATTAGCACTTGGTACAACAACTGTTTTAAAATACAAGTCTAAACTTGGCTGGCTATACTAATTCTTATTATTGTTTTGGAAAGTTCTTAAAGCTTTAATGACTTGGGCACACTTGGTGACTTGTATGGATACTGAAGTTGTATTTTTTCACAATTCAAATGTTTGCATAATTGAACTGTTTTAGAACTGAATTGTGTTGCAGGATGAATTCAGCAAACTGCATAGTTATAAGATCAATTCAACCTCTGGTTCCATGAGTAAAGATGCATCTAAAGTAAAAATATGATCAAATACATAATAGTAATTTCTTAAGACCAAGAACTATCTACTACTGATTCTGTTCTTGAATCAGTGATTCATCAGATTTTCATGAACAGCCTATAGTTATTGGGAGAAAATAAAGAGGAAATAGAAGAAAGTGTAACAGTACTAGCTTTAGAGAAAAAGGAAGAATGATAGGGTACATTTAATTTCCAGTGCATTTTGTAGACTGTGTGCCAAAATATCACATGTTACTGAACTCAGATTTCTATCTGCTCTAACTAGCATGTTCAATATAAGGAATCATAGAAACTGTAGTCCATTAATATTTGGAGACCTTTAGGCTGCTCATTCCTACCTTGAGTATATATATAAATTACATTTTCACAACTTGGTTTGTGCGATTAGGAACAAAAGGCAATTGGACTTTTGCTGTTTTTCCTTGAAGACGTTTCCTTGAAGAAGTGAGGAAGCTTCTTGGATGAGAAGCGAAACGTCTTCAAGGAAAAACCAAGAAAGTCTGATTGCCTTCTGAAAAAGCACCTTTGGGACAACCATGACCTGGATGACTGAGAATCTCCATAGACATACATATAACCTGTTCACACTACTAACAGAATAGCAGGGCTGGACAGAAAATGGAATCTTTACTGACCCATTTCCAGAGGAGCAATCTAGAGTCACTCCAAAACAAGGCCTAGAAATAACTCTTTTGTCTTCTTCTCAGTCAGGACAATTTGCTGTAGCCACATTTGCTAATGGCTGCAAAATAAAATTGAGAAATCTCTGTACACTTTCCAATGTTGCTGTGCATTGGCCAGGTCTGCAGGCACTTCTGGTATTCAGCAACATCTGGAAAGCAACAAGCCCCCTCCTCTGTTTCATCAACTATAAATGCCGTGGTCACTAATTCTTATTTTGAAAATCAAAAGAATCATTATGCTAAATGTACCCATATTTTTATTCCATTATTTTGTCTACACATTTTTTTTTACCGCCACTGATGTTGAGTTTGGCTTTGCTTTGACTGCCTCTTGACAGGAAAAAGGAGCACCAACCAGTATCTTACTTGGTCTGCTTTCTTTCCCAGCATGTTGTCAAACTCAACAAAGAACTCATTCTTATCCCCTTGTGCATGCCATATTTCTTTTAAGAGATGGCAGGAAAGATCCACTGCTTCCTTTGCAGGTATTCAAATATATACTGGAATCAATCATACAAGAATGGCCTTTCTGAATAGTAGTTAACAATACTTGGTTTTTTTTAATTAGAAATCACACTTTGTTTATTTAGAGATAATTCTTAGTTCTTTGATATAATCTTCCCATGAGCATATCCCTGACATAATATTACAAACATGAAAAATGTTATGAGATGATTACTGCTAAATGTCACCCTCAGCCAGTATATATTATTAGGGGAATTAGGATAGTGAGAGTTTTGGACAGATTGGGAGGACAGGAGTTAAAATTTACTCTTGTTCACTGAACAAGGGCACCCCAAAGGGTCAAAAGAGACAAAATGGGGACAGTGACCAAACCTCTACCCTTTGTTTATCTGTATTGCATGTGGCCACCCTTTAATTGGGTGGTCCTGGGCTCATCTCTCAGCCTAATCTGCATGATAAATTTTATGAGGATAAAAAGGGGTACAATGAAAACCTGTGCTCTTTGCTAAAAGTATATCATAAAACATCTATATATGATAAAAACTCTTGTATCTGTAACTTTAATTGGGCAAAAGAGCGTATAGTAGGGCAACAATTTTTGAACCAAGATATTGGTTCTAATTTATAGAATCCATCCAAAATCCAGGAGCCATGACTACTGTGGAATTAAAATCTGGAAGATTTGTGGTTGCTTTAGTGCTACCATGCAACTGCCCAGATGATCAGTAGCCAAGTCCTGTTCTAGCACTCCAGAGACCAAGTAGACCAGCCTCTTCTTTGGAGGATGGAGATCAGATAGACTCATCTCACCCTAGTCCTCTGGAGGCCGGGTAGATCAGTCCCACCATGAGCTGCTGGAGGGCAGTTAGCCATGGGGAAGCTGTCAAAAACTTGGAAGTTGATGTCACTGCCACTGCTTTTTTTTGCCTTTGTTCTGTTTCATTTCGTTTCTATGTTTAGGTAAGAAAATATCTCTGAAACAATAACCCAACAGGTCACAGGTTGACTGACTACTGACAAATGAAATAGTAACACTGTATAAATCTGTGCTAAGTAGAGCTAAACTGAGAATGGCTTATTATCAGTGGAGAACCCACAGACATGTCTAGCAGACCTCAAAGCTAACAAATATGACAAAGAAATCCATTTTGACTTTAAGAGTTTGCTTATGAAGCTATGGATCAGTTCATCTCACTGCAGAAAACTTTTCGTTTCTAACCAATACATTGCTGAAGCTCACCACACTTTGATTTCCAGGGATCTGGTGACAATGAAGTTACCCATCCCTAACTAAAACTAGAGCTACAATTTTTGGGCCACACATAGCTGGCCTCCTTCCAGGACACCTGCCTGCTTCTAACAATGATTTCTGGTTGTTGTCATTCCCCCACCCAGCAGCTCATTTCTCTTTCACCTTCCAGCCAGAACTGTGTATTTTCCCACCAGCCTCTTCTGATATTCTATCGCATCCTCAGGGAATTCTGAGGCAGATTCTGTGCCATAGAAGATATCAAAGGAGGGGGCATAAGAAACCTAACATGATGCCAATCTATAAAAGCTCATTGGTTTCATTTCTCATTTGATCCTTAGATTGTTTTGACCACAACATCACATCCCTCTGTTACTGCTTCAGTTGGTTTCTAGCTAGGTGACAAATGATTGGTTACTTTGGCAGCTCCCAAGTGGGGGAGAGAGGGAGAGAGGGAGAGAGGGAGAGAGAGAGAGAGAGAGAGAGAGAGAGAGAGAGAGAGAGAGAGAGAGAGAGAGAGAGAGAGAGAGAGAGAGACTTGCATGGGAATCATGTAGTGTCAGTCAAAACTCTTTCACCCAAACTATGATGAGGAAAAAGGCAGATGCTAAGGTAGCCTGAAAACATAATTAACAGAACAGTGGGAGTGGGTAGTTAAAAACTAAAGTGAAAGCTAATTAAAATGGCAGGCCCCATTAAGCCAGCTTATCCTTGGGGTATCATTGTCAAGGTTAAGGTCGGGTTGAATCAGCAAATTTGCCTATTTGAAGCCCTTGGGAAATCAGTACAGAGGTGCACAAGTGGCAGAATATCTTAACAGAACAAGAGGTATCCCAGGGAAAATGGTATTTTTAGTTTCTCTATTCATGGTCGCTTTGGGACTTTTCCATTTTTCACAGCTTCAGCTTTATTCCTTAGTTTCTAGAACTGAATGTCAATCAGTCGATCTGATGCAAATTATGGGTTTAAAAATGTGATCAGATCTGGGCTGCCACAAAATCAGGACAGTCCCTAGATGACAGCAAAGTATTAGAATTTTTACTGCTATCATGGGATCATCTGTGCAGCCCAGATCTGGTCCCCTGGTTCAATCAATAAGCCAAACCATGGTGAAAAAAAGCATCTGACCCATCACAGATTGATTACCTGGCCAGGTAATGATATCAGTAATTGATTGCTCAAAGTATAATCACCAAGCTTGTCTTAGAGCAAATAATGTTTTGAAGATGCAACTTTGCTGTAACAAGAAGGACACGCTAAAAGAGCTCAAATAATACATTTTTCTTTCCTTTATATACCATATGTCCATTCCTCGAAAAGCAGAAATAAGGGAGAGGCTTGGAGAATAGGTGATTCTCAATTCCAGGAAAAAAGACCAAGAGGGGTTCTTTGAGAAACGTGAACACGCCCAAAGAGCAACAAATTGTTCCAAAAAGAGCTACTTTTTTTCTATCAGAGACCTTTGTATGTTGCCTACTCTTCTCTCCATCTCCATGACCTTTGCAGAAAAGGACAGAATATAATGCAGCAATTCTCCATCACCTATTTCTTGCTGGCTTATCTTTGATGAACCCCGTTTGAAGCACTTCAATTGAAGATCCCCCAGGCTGACTCAGTCAGCTTCAAGGTGTTGAAAAAGGGAAGAATTACTCCCAAAGAATGTAAAAACTGAACAGGTCTTTTTTTTTTCTTTTCAGGTAAATTGTTTATTGCTTGAGTGGGATTAATACTACACTGAATAGTGTTTGGATAGAGATCCATGCTTCATATAGCTAGTCAATAGGCAATGTTCAGTATTCTGACCCAGCTGGAGGATCCCAACACATTTCAAAAGGAACTTCAGAGAGAACATAGTGGAGGAGATTTATGTTTGCCTTCTTCACATAAGCTTCTTGGAGATTTCTGTATTTCCACTCTGGAAACTAGGAAGGTTCTTATCCTGTTACCTCACACCTAAAAACAGCTGTTCATGGTAACCATAATGAATATAAAAATGACTTACGAAACATTGTCATGAACTGTTTAGGATGGAGGTTCCAATAGCCCCAGTTTGTTCGATATCCATGCAGAGTGGCATATTCCTCATGATTGTATGCAGGTTCAGTCCCAAAAGTATCAATTACTCGAACACGGCATCTGTGTAAGAGAATAAGGGGGGGAAACACCATAGCAGTGGCATCTTTGAAAGTCATGCTGCCTACTGCTTAAGTGGAAGTGTCCTTTTATGGAATTTGGGGAATCCTGTGATCGCCAATGAATAGTTACAAACCTCTTGCACCAGGGACCTGTTTATTTGTTTGCTTGGTTGTTATATGTATATCCTGCTTTTTGTTCAATGGCTGCACTTACTATTCCTGCTTTCTATTGGTCCTCACAATAGCAACTGACAGCTGGCAGAAAGAAAGTGGGGCAAATGCACCTGGTGAATTTCCATGCTTGGATCTCTGGATCTCTGCAATACCAATCCAGCACCTTAATCACTATAATATACTAGCTCAACATTAGACCTGTGTCCAAGAATAGCTTTAACAGTCAGGCACTGAGGAAATCCATTGTCAAAAATGGAAGAATGGGCACCCAGTGCCCTGGACAACTTCTCTTAGCAGTAGCAATAGCCCTTAGACCAGGGGTTCTCAACCTTGGCAACTTTAAGACTTGTGGACTTCAACTCCCAGAATTCCTCTTAAAGTTGCCAAGGTTGAAAACCCCTGCCTTAGACTCCATGGTGCTTTATCACACTCTCTGAGTGGTTTACAAATGTCAGCATATTGCCCCCCAACAATCTGAGTCCTCATTTTACCCACCTCGGAAGGATGGAAGGCTGAGTCAACCTTGAACCAGTCAGGATTGAACTTGTGGGCATTGGGCATTCTAACTATTGTGCCACCACGATCTCTTCCTTTCCATTTTAGATGATGTATGTGACCTACATGCAAACTGGTTTTGGACCTGAATTTAATGCTCTTTCAGAAAAGTGCTAGCCTGTGTGTCATAAGCCCAAGAGATGGATTATATGTAATGAGCACTTCTGTACCAGTGATTTCTCACTCAGGATACTCGAAAGATGGCTAAATCTTAGGCATCCATTTACACTCATCTCCACCTCAGCAACTGTTACAGAGAGCAGTTAGGTTCAGCCATCAGAGTAGTACATTTTATGCCAGCATGCTTTTCCATTGCTCAATGAATGTAAGAATGAATGGGTGGGATATTGTAATGTGATCTACTTAGGATCTGTTCTTGAAGATAGCGATCTACATGTTATTAGGAAAAGCCGATATTTGTAACAACAAGATTATGAGACTAGCATTGGCTTGTTTCTGGGTGCAATTCAAGGAGTTTTAATATTTAAAAACTTTCATCTGGGGGGCCTGGTTATCTACCAGACCAGTTCACTCTGAAGAGAATCTATCTGCCTGAAGTATGCCTACCCAGAAGGTTTACTGTGAATCCTCACCAACCATGAGTGGCAATGAGAAGAAGCCTGGAGGTTAGCATTTTCTGAGATGTCCCCCTTCTGTGAAATGCCCCAGATCTGCCCTCTGAACTCTGGTGCTCAGGAAGCTACTGAAAACTTGGGTTTTCCGATACGAATTAGAAATACATGTAATCTGGTATAATATAGCCCAAACGCTTTATGATTATGGGATTGAATTGTTCCAGTTTGAATAATTATGTTACATTTGGATGCTATAAGTATATGCTTATTATATTATTTATAGATATTTTGTATTTTGTGGCTTGTGAACTGCTTAGAATTGAGTTAATGGAACTAGCAACAAACAAACGTTAATGCAGACAAAGGAGAAGCTCTAAGACTCTCTCTCTCTCTCTCTCTCTCTCTCTCTCTCTCTCTCTCTCTCTCTCTCTCTCAGAAACATGTTCATGAATATTTAAAAAATGTGCTTTAGAACAGAGCTTGCAAAATGAAGCATAACATGTGAGAAAGACGACAGGAGCCACTAGACTTCATGGAGCTTTTACTATTAAACTTGCCACTCCATTAATCTACAGTCAACTCCATGTATATCTTGCACAGAAAAGCTTGTGTAGTGAACAATATCAGTCTGTAAACAGCCTCTGCAGCCACCTATTTCTTCAGAGAAGAAAGACAGCTGTTGGATCCAAAGAAGGTGTAAAACAAAGGGCAGTGAAGAGAAAAGATCTCCAGCAAATACCTCCCCAAAATAAAGCACGAAGAACCCTGCAATCCCAAATCTGTTCTAGTGACAAACTTCAATTCCCATTGGAGTACATTACAAAATCAAAATGTTATAATTATGTACAGTGGATGCTAGTTTGAACCACAGAATCTAGCCTGCTTTATCTGTGTATGACCCGTATTTCTGTGTGTTTTTCTTCAATCTTCTCAATCTATTTCATAACTACATAACCTCTAGCCCCCTGGATTAATATTGTGTCCTCCCAAATACCCTTAGGATGGATGGGATTTTTTTTCCTTGTTAGGGAGTTGGAAGGTACATTTAAGGATCATTATTAGTGTCTTTCTCCATTAAAATTCACCATTCAACCTCTCCCCCTAAACAAAATGTGAATCAGGAATTTGATTCTACCCATTCTACTGATGTTTGAATTCATCAACCCAAGTACCCCAGTGTTGGACAGGGCACCTCTCTCTCTCTCTCTCTTTCAATTAAACCACTGCATGAATTCTAATGTGTTTTAAAATAAGGCTATTTTCAAAAATCCGATTTCATTTGTAGTTGCACATGAATTCTGTTTTCTCTATCTATACATTGTGTTTTTAGTTTCTACAGTATTTGCCAATCAAAGATGGGTGTTAATAGTATGAAGAGAGTCATTCTGGAAGCAGGTAACCCACTCTATGCATAGAGGAGGAAAAAAGAGATGGAGTCTTCTCATTGTTTTTACCCTTCTTCTGGGCTCCCCCCTGCATGGAATATCTAAGGATGAGCCTTCCCACTGCCTGCTATAGGCTAGCACCCTATAAGCTGCATGGGGACTAGAGGGGAGGAGCTAACTTTCTTGTCCCTCCCCAGTCCTCACACATTGTTGGACATTCTCAAGCCAATCAAAAGAGCTTGGGATTGGGAGAGGAAGAGAGCAAGTTCTGAAAATACAGCAAATACGAATCAAGCATCAGATTCCCAACTCTGCTCTTTTAGTAAGATAAAACACATAAGGAAAATTGATTTATAACAAAAGCTGTAACAAAACCTGATACTTTTGGACAAAAATCATGAAGGATAGTGGGGGTGGAGTGGGGCGTTGGAGAAGAAAATGGTACTATCAGTGTTAAATGAAATCACAAAATTTTGCTAGCAAATAATCCGGCAAGAGACAGAGAGTTGGGTCATTTTGCTTTGTTTCCCCCCCTACTTTTAGTACCGGGAAGAAGGGCAAAATAAAGACGACTTTGTCCCTTTAACCGCCGCTTTTTCTCTCTTTTGTGATGTTTACAGAACACATTCGCAGAAGGCTGATCCATTAGTTCCCCCTGCTGTCTTCACACATTGAACACCCAAACTCTTGCCTCCTCCCTGGAAAGCCTGATGATGATGATGATTTATTTTATGAGAACAATATATAGCTTTGCTCTTTTGCCATTGTAAGCACAACATAATATGTGACAATGGCAGCTGGAAAACAGAAGGGAGGCTATTGAATGTGCAATTGACCTGCTGTCACAGTCATGGAGATAATCAAGATGTGGAAGTGTAAATCTTAAGGATGTGTTGGAGATGTACTTCTCCCTGCTTGACAGGAGAAAGAAAGGCTAAATGTTCAAGCGATTTTCAGTTTCAGTCCCATTCTGAATTTGGAATAATGCTCTTCTCTAGGACGGTGAACAAGAAAAATTTCCCAGAAATCTTAGAATTGGTTCTGGATTTAGTCTCAAGATATCTATGATCCCATGTATGGATGAAACATGACTTTGGAAGAAGGCTTGGAGGGGAAAATATTAAGCAGCTTTTTCCCCTTTTAACCCATTATCAAATTCAATTTCCAAGAATTTGCATTAAAATTCTGATGCTGTAAAGAATTTCTCAGCTGACCAAAATGCAGTCAAGTGACTCTCTCTCTCTCTCTCTTTGTGTGTGTGTGTGTGTGTGTGTGTGTGTGTCTGCATGTGTGACCATTGGAACTTTGAAACTGATTCATAAATAGCTCTGGGGAAGTTCACTGTAATTTCAGATGGTCACTAAACTTAAGCATGGACTATCTATATTTATGATTACAAGGACTTTAAGCATGGACTATCTACCTTTATGATTACAGGGATTTTATGCAGTTTAATTCAAAAATCAGTTTTCAGTAATTTACAAGAGTGGTATACTATAAATTGTACCATGTATTTATTTATTTATTATGAAATTCACTTGCTGCCCATCTCCTATCCCACGGCTCTGGATGGCTTATAACATATTACATTATAGCAACAACTTCACAGAAATAAAAATGCAATCACAACTACATTCTTGAAGAAATGCCCATATAAATTCAGGGTCTATCCATCCTCAATATCAATCCCAGAATGCTTGCTTTAAAAAAATAAGCCTTCACTGCTTAAATTAGCAATAAGGATGCTGATCTTATTTCTACAGGAAACTGATTCCATAGTAGTAAACTTGTACATGTGTCAGCCAGTTCTGTCATTAACTCTTCCACCAGATATGTTGCAAAACAGGGTTAGGGGATGGCAGAAAATAGCCCCGGTTCTCACCTGTATTTTTTAAAGGAGAGGCCCATATGCTGCTTCATCTGCTGCAGTCCATGGTAGTCCGTATAAATGAGATCAAAGGGCAAAGGAACCATCAGGGGACAATTACCTCGACCAGGTGGCACTCCTAAGTTACTGGAAAGAATAAAAGGAGGAGTTGCATTTGTGCACAGAGGAAAAGAAACAGGACAATCTGTTCAGAAGAATTAACACTGTGAAACCATTTGGGAAATGATTACTATTCTCCATAGGCTGAGTTCACACAACCCAGCTAGGTTAGTTTGTGATTCAGTAAGTTATAGGAACCCAGCCACTGACTGAGCATATTGTGTGAACCAAGCCACAACATTAAACTGTGAAAAACAGTGGTTTCCTGAACAAGAATTCAAGGTTGGAAGTGCAATACAAACATGGCCACAGTGAAATAACTAAGGGAGAGATTCTAAGTTGACCCATCAGTTTCTAAGAAAGAACCCACAAGCCCACAATACCCGAAAAGCTTAATTCAAAACATGTTCACTGAGAATTCAGTGGGGCTGCCTCTCAATTAATTGCTTATATATGATTGTAGCCAGATTTATGCATAAGTGTTTTAGGAGATTAGGTCACAGACTTCCGGAGGTGCACAAGGCAGTGGATGAGGATCAAAAGAATTCTATGCAAAAATCTATCAAACCCGACCCTATGCAGAGGGGACTATGTAAGAAAAGAGAGAAGAAGAGAGAAGGAAAGAAGATGGGCTCTGTAATTTCAGGGAAGCTGAGTTGGCAGCGAGAGTGCCAAAAAGAATTGACAGCTTGCCTGTGTTTTGCAACCTGTAGCATTTTAAGTGAACTTGGTTTAAGGAAAAAGAGCACATTTTTCATTCATTCTTTCTTTTTTTTTTTACCCTCTGACTTCCAGCTTTCAGAAAGAGTTTACTGTACTGAAAAATAAGAAAGATCGCGCGTCCCATTAGAATAAGATTTTACATTTTATTGGGTTTGGTTTGGTTTTATTTTAGGTATGGTTCTAGCATTCTCTTATCTGATATGTAAAACTTAATTATTAAATGCTGTATATTTCTTGCCTTAAAACCAATGAAGTCAGTTATATTCACCTCTCCATCCATAATCAGCTCATAGTATTAGGGGGGTAGCCCAGTGGTGGGATTCAAATATGTGAACAACCGGTTCTCTGTGTGGATGCCGCTTCCGGAAGCCCATTCTGGACCTGGGCAACAAAAAATTAGCTACCGGTTCTGCCGAAGTGGTGCGAATCAGCTGAATCCCACCTCTGGGGTAGCCTAAGAACTATGGTTGTTCTCTGTCAAGCAGTGTAAAACTTTTTACTATGTAGCTGTGGTGCTCTGTCCCAGATGAGTGAAAGCTATTGTGTCTAGAAGAGTTGATTTGCTGATATTGGCAATTACCAGGAGAATATTAAAATGCATATCACTAGGTAATATATCTCTGTGGCTGGTGGTTACCAGGTGGCTACCAGGGCATCACATTGTCCTGAGGCTCTGGATATTACCAGAAAATTGCAGTACTGAAGAATACTATCAACCTTGTCACACAGAACATCTTAAGTGGCATTCAAACAGGGAGAGACTGCACCAGATTGCCCACATATAATACTATAGTGGCAATTTTAATTGAAATGCAACTGCATCATTCTAGTAGGAAGTAGATTTACAACATAAATGGTTCCAAACATATGCACCTGTATTGTTCTGGTGTGAACATCCACAACAAGCAATAGGATTCATAGCCAATAATGGATAAAATAATTCAGTAACAGTCTTTGATGTAATCTGGATTATATTGCCATTTTGACCTGCTACGGAACCTTATCTTGTGTATATACTACTACACTTGTCTGATTGCTTGATAGTATGTGGGAGATAACTGTGCTGGCTTACATGCTTGCAATGACACTATGTGCTTTTTGTTTTTCATAGAGGGCAAATTCGCTTTTCTATGGCCTTGGTTAACATTAAGGAGGCAGCCTTTATAAAAGGGTACTCTTGGAAAACTTGCTCCAAAACCAAACCTGACTGATCCTTTAATTCAATGAAATTGTGCAAATTACTATCATTGCACCCTATGCACCAAAGGGATGTGTAGTGAAAACAAAACAGACCATTTTTTATACTGAACCACAAAGCCCTTAGGAGAGACTTCCTCATCTTGACGGGTGATCTAAATGCACAGATTAATAAACTGTGGTTTGCCTGGAAGTAATTGTGAGCAAATTTGGGTCTGGTAGCATGAACAAAAATGGCTTGGACTGCTCTGCATCATTAAACTCACTGGCCATTTGCAACTGCTTATTCCAGCCAAGCCCAATCATTAATTAACGATATTCACAAGCACTAAGTGGTGCTTCTACATTCTATATTTCTATTCCTGATCGGCAAACACTTTAGGTCTGCTGCTAATGATGTCCAGGTGTTGAAAAGTGCAGAAGAAAGGTCTGATCCTCACCTGGTTTGATGCAAGATTAAACTGAAATTGAAAGCTATATCGCACTGCCATCTACCACCTTAACTCCTGCTGAAATTGCTACCACTTCAGCAACACCATGAAGCATTTTAGATAGAACCGTATAACAGATCTGATGCCCTGATCCCAAGTGAAGGTGATGACAATGTGGAGGAACAGTCATTTGGAATCAGAGGCATCATCAACATATCAGGAGAAATGTGGGGAGAAAGACAGCACTAAGAAATGAATAACAGGTGACACCACTGACTTGAGGGGGGGAAATGTGGCTAATCTTGCAAATCCAACAGGCAAAAAAGCTGACAAAACAAATCTGCAAAAAGCTGAGAGTGAAAAGGAGCCTTATATGGGTGGCATAGCTGCAGAAATGCTGGCCACAGCTGGGCACTGTGACCAAGAGACATTCATTTAAACTTTGAAAGAACTGTCGGGAAAGTCCAGTTGTCCCAGAATGAGCATTTGCATTGCAACTGGGGGAGTTGCTAAAAAAACAGCCAGAAAACTGTACAATGCTGGAAGCAGCATTTTGATTTAGCCCTGAAATGTTAATCCATCAGATGCATTAAATTGGGAAGTAGTTGATCCAGGACCATCCTCTAATACTGCCTATGTATCTGAGCCAAATAAAACAGAGAACAATGCAATATTAAAACGCTTAAAAATGGCAGAGCTCTAGGACCTGAGCAAGTCCCCATGGAAGCATTGAAGAGAGATTGGCCTGTAATGCCTCACAGGCTATTTTCAACTATATGGAAAGAATGGGTCCTTCTTGACTGGAAACCTGTTATTGTGCTCATGTTTGAAAAGGGAAATAAATGCAATATAAAAATTATCATGGAATCAGTCCTCTCTTAACAGTTGGAATGATCCCGTTGCAGATTATCAGAACATAACTGTATAGCCACTTCTTGTTTAGAGGTTATCTTCCATAACAGCTATTCACAAATACAATAGTAATTTTTTAAAAAACATTTTCCAACCCATGAACACACTTATAGCCAAATGTTGTGCATACTGGAGTGAAGTATAGCTCTGAATGTTCTGAATGAAATGGGAACAACCAATGATCTTTGCAGGGTCTCTCTCTCTCTCTCTCTCACACACACACACAGTTTGTTTAGTGGCCACTTCACTTCCAATTTAAGAAACACATTCTAATCACTAAACAAGGAAAGGGTATAGTGGCTAGCCAATGCAAGTATCCTCAACCTGGAAAGAGCAATCTGGCTTTAGACCAAAGCATGGCTATATGGACCAGATTTTGACTGTTAGGCAAGTATTTGAAGTGTGCATTTGCTATGGAAAACAAACTACTGCTGTATTTACAGAGTTCAAGAGTATCTTTGGCAGCATCAATTAAGACGCTATGTAGAAATTATGGTATCTGGCAAACCCAGCCGACACATCTGATGCTCTCTTAGCTTGGTTGTTTGCTTGCAGATGCTTCATTAGCCATCTAGGTGACATCACAAGTGCCAGTGAGATTATAGTTTGCTCATTTATATGCAGTAACTTGCCCTGTCAGTGTTGGTGAGGGTGTGATTTTCCCCTTGGTCATTCCTTGATTAGGATATAATTTTCTGCTTGATTACTTGTCTGGTGTTAGTCCCTGTTTATTTGGGTGTTAGCCACCAAAGAGGATATGTTCTGTTTTTTTTTTGTTTGTTTCCTTCTTTTCATATTTTATTGTCTCTTTCAAATGCTGTGTAAATGTGGTTTATCTCTATGTGCCTATTGATGGGTGATTTATTTGAGTGCCAAGATTCCAGGAATTCCCTAGCAGTTTTGGATTTAGCTTGGTCTAGGATCCTCACAGTTTCCCAGTTGAGACTATGATTTCTGATTACTAGTTGGTATTCATGAATGCACCCTGCTAGTCTTCTAATTGTTTGTATTACATAGTGGTTGTCACAGTACTTTACACTGTATGTGGTAGATGACTCCTGTTTTTTTTTCTTGGGATACTGGGTCTCTTGCTTTACTTGAGATATTTTAGAGGGCTTTCATTGGTTACCTAATTTAGTTGTTAACTAGTCAGATAGTAAAATGCTTGCAAGTAAACAACTAAGCTCAGAGAGCACCAAGAACTCCAGTTTAATCCTGAGCTACTCATATTTTCTTCTACTGAAACCCTTCTGAGTCATTGCTGCCTTTTATGACAGCGCTCCTTGGAATGTTTCAGGCCACGCTGACAAAGCTTGCTTCTCAGCAGTCAAAACAAGAATAAGACAAGTGTGTGCATTACCACCACTGTTCAGTATGATGATAGATTGGATAATGGGGAAAAGCATCCTTGGCATACAGGAGTTTAATGTGGCACAGATGAGCTGGACTTTACAGAAACAACATATACTGATGGTGTTGTTTTCATAGAGGGATCAGAACAGGAGCTATTAAATGTCATCAGCAAAGCAGCAGAGATGCTCAGACTCTGAATAAATAATAATAAAAAAAAGATCTACACCATGTCACATGATGGCAACAAATTAACCTCGCCCCTTGAGAAGCGCCAATAGGGCAAGTGCATGAGTTCAAGTACTGAGGCTCTTTTATCTCTGCATCAATGATCGCTGTATCCACTAATGCTGCTGCACAAATTGGTAATGTTCAAGGGTCTTTTACTAGCTGACTGTGTGCTTCTAGAAGAAG